ATGCGACAAAAACCCGAAGGGCACAGAAGAGGCCGACAGGCGGGAAGCCTGGCTAGGAGGAGGGCGAAGAAGTGGGCTCCCCGCTCCCTGAGGCCGCCGGTACATCTGCATCTGAATGGGGAGCCCGGAGCCGCTCCGCACCGACACCTGCTGGAGGAGGGGGCATCAAAGGAAGGGTCTTCTGTTACCACTGGCTAATTAATTTGAACAATAAAGTCCACTCCAGCGTCCACAAGGCTCCGAACACACCGTACTCACTCCATTCCCAAACACACACACACACACACACACACACACACACGCACACGCACACGCACACGCACACAGTGTCTCCACAGATAAGTGGAAGTACGCTTCTCAGGTCGGCAATTAGTTTTTGGAATCGAAAGGATGGGCGTAAATATTTTGTTGCCCCACTGAAAAGTTCACTCTCTTCAGACCCAAGACTTATGGAACCCCAATTCCGAAGATATTTCTGCCTGCGTAGACAAAAGTGACTCAGAGGGAGCCAGCCCCGAGGCACTTTCCAACCCCCGAGGAAACTGAGCGCAGCCCTTCAAGACGCTGGCTGGCTTCGGATGCTGAAACTCCCCGAATCCCAGCAGCTGAGACCTGAGCGCATCCTCGCCGGCCGGCGGCGCGCGCGCCGAGCCTGCTGCGGGGTGCACGATTCTCCAGCGTCTGCGAAAGCTTGGGGAGGCGGGTGGGGAGAGGGGTGGCGAGGGCTCCGACGGAAAGAAGGGGAGCGGGCGGGCGTGGAGGAAGGCTCCCCGGAGGGAAACCCAGGCGAGGGAGAACCGCCCAGCGGCGACTGGGAACCCTTCCTACTCGAGTCCGCGTGGAGCGAAAAGACCACGCTCGGCACGGATCCCGGGCCCAGGACCCTGAGCCCCGGCGATGGTGGCGAACAGGCCCGGGGGGTGCCAGGCAAGCAGCGCGCGGCGGAGGCCTCCCCTGCCGATCGGCCGAGCCTCCCGCGGCCGGGGTGGGCTCGCGCGCGAGGCCGGCTGGAAGGAGGCGGTGCCCGCTCCGCCCCACGGCGCGGCGCGCCCTCCGGCCCCGCGGAAAATTTCGTTCACAAAAGCAGAGCCCGGAACTTGTGTCTTTCCAAAGGAGCTCTCCGTTGGTGCGCGTCTATGCCAGCCTTAAAAATAATAATAATAATAATAATAATAATAATAATAATAATAATAATAATAA